CTTCTACACCAAAATATATGTTATAAAAGAATTTTCATAAGACATACACAGCTCTTTATTTCCCGGACAAGCGGCAGCGGACCCCAGATCCCTATGCTGACGTCATGTTCTCCAGAGCCCTTCCAAGGTCACGCATACGGTTGTCAAGGTTCTCGATACTCTTATAGCCTTTTAAGTAAACATATTCGCGTTTACGACCTTCTGGAAATATGCAGGAATGAATAAGTTTTATTATTAAACTCATGGAACATTCGAAAATATACTTACACTATTCTCAGAATTTAGTTGTGTTGTAGGCTTATTTGAATTGAAGCAATATCGTCTTTTCCTCTGTCGCCGTTAACCTGTATTCTTTCCCGCGCAATTCCTTTGAATGATAGATTTTGTTTACGATATGGGATCTGGTGTAAATGGTAACATTTTGAGATAATAAAATATTATATTAATACATTATGTGCAAACGACCTCACATATGTATATGTATAGTCTGTATTTGCTTAAGTTATTGTATAATTTGGGTAGTTAATATTCTACATAGATTTTGTACGCAAATAATAATTTAGTTTCAAAATAATTACAGCTATTACAAACTGAAATCTTATAAAGAGATGTACAATTGTACCCATACAATCAAATTTTATTAGTGAGATTGATGAAAAATATACACAAATCCATACTTTCAGAAGAAATATGTTTCTTTTTTCCAACACTCTATAAAGAACATTTTATGACTATTTATATTGTTTCTGCACAATCTATTTTAGTAATTTATAACTGATAGACATACTTAGAACATATACAAAAATCCAGGTGTATACACTGGAATCGATTTACAAGACTCTTACTCTTCTCTACCTCTTTTCTGTACCTACTAGTAACTAGTATGCAATTTGTTTGTTTACATTTCAATGTTATTACCGAAACTTCCAAATTGTGCTGTAAATTGTTGTCGACAATCCATTATTACTTAGAAACTCCATTATGGATAGAAATAACGATTTTTCCATTGAATAAACCGCAAGGTGGGCCAACCACGCCCAATACTGTCCACATACCTGCAACGACCTTGCCGGAAGAACTTCTAACTATATGGTAGTCCAATAGTTCGCGACTGGGATCGCTCAATTTAGCTCTTATTCCTTCGTTCTCGACTCGAATCAGATACTGACTAGTCAACCTCTACGTCTACAAATATTTTTTCCTGCAAAAATGTGTACTTGTTTTTTTAGGACTTGTTACGTTTTATCGAGCAAACTAAAGAGCAAAAGATCGGCGAAATGGTTAATTTAGTTTGACTTTGTGAGCAATTTTCTGAACCAAATCGTTCTAAATGGCAATATCAATGAACGCTCGTAATACATGGTGTATCATATTACGATCTGTATCATAACACTGAGATGGTGGCCATTGCAATTTCTAATCTATAGTTTTATGAATAAAATATATTTTTATTTATACGTTCGTCGATGTTTATAATGAAATTGGAATGAAAAACAATTAACGACTACTAATAGACACTTATTAATTAATTACTTAGTTTAATATACTTTTGTACTTCATACTTTCATAGAATTGTATCCAAAATTAATTAAAAATGTTTCCGTCTATACAGTTATGATTATGAGCGTAGAGGCTAGGTATTATAAATTTCTTAAATAAAATTAATTTGTAGAATATTACATTATAATCTAAATCTAGATGAAAAGAGAATGAATAAATAAAATAACGCAGGAATATAACTATATTGTTCAGCTGTGGGGCATACAATTATAAACTGCACAACATTAAATTGGGGCAAAGCAACGGCCGGCCGGGTACAAAAAATGCATAGCAGATGTTCCATTGTGAACCGATTACTTGCATAACGCGGCAACACCCAATCAACAATATTCCCGCGCAAAACGAGTCACATAAATTCTACTATGCCTTGTTTACCTAATTTCAACAGGACGTCAGAACTCTAAAAAATATATTTTTTTTAATATCGTGTGCCAAGTTCACAGGAGTGAATTCCTATTCACTATACCTTGAATACTTTTAAATCAAAAATCATTTATTCATGTAGGACATTTCACCGGCTTATCGTCATCGTCAAATTATTTAGTTTTTTTTTTCAGAAAAGATTTGAAATTTCGAACGTTGCAAACACATAGACAGTTATTTCCTGTGACTTCGTCTGTTTTTTGTCTTAATTTTTTCTTCCGTCCTCGTTTCACAATCTAACTTGACGTCAAACTCATAACATACATTTAAGGTAACAACCAAATATTATTCAGAATTTCGCACGAATCCAGCTATGATCTTATGTGGATCGCTACACAGATTTCGTAAATTTCGTACGGACCGGAATCGAAACTACAACCACAACCGAACCCAGTGAAGGCATGTTTATTTTGGACCTGATCTTATGGTTCTGAACGTAAAAAATGTACATGACTTTTCGGAAGCCCGGTTTGACATTCCATAACAGAAATCCGTATGCGTATGACCAACTAGTATACAACTGTTTATTCAGTTTTGTTACGGTGATATACAATGATGAATTAATACTTATCACATTCAAAACACTAATAAGATAACACATTATCATCAAAACAATAAGTATGATAAGATAGATTGTTTACTGTCTGGGACAAAATCTCTGAATTTTTGTTTTTGGTTACTTTTTTTATTATCCCGTGCATGCATAATCACAACAAAATGACAGAGATGTACGTAAAATGAAGGGCAAATGCCCCAAAACATTGCTAGATAGCAATGTTTTTGTTGGCTCGTGATAATACCTACTTTGAGGGTCTAGACTATGATAAATTTATATAATTATAAAATAACTTCTGACTGATGCAATACATAAAAAAATATATATAAGAGTAAATAAGTAAGTTCTAAGTTCTACCAGCAATATTATAATCTCGGATAATCGACACAAGTAATAAATGAATACTTAGTTAAGTACAAATGTCCTAATGAAGGGGAACTACCGCTTATATGGAGTTATGTATCTTAATTATTATGTATCAATAGACCTAAAGTAGTTAATTTCATAATAAAGTATTTACTAATATTTGCAATTGACACGTTTTAATGAACATTTGACAGAATGAAGCGGACTGTTTGACAATCGGGTAAAACGCAATCACGCGTAACACAAATTGGCTTCGAATTTCTGATGGGGGCATCCACACAGAACAGAGATGTCTGTTTTGTTACTAACCATTATATAACGTAGCGTAGTTAACAATTACGCATCAATATAAACAGAAATAGATAATACAAACAAAAATCATTTCTATAACAATTGAATTACTCACATTAATAATAAGACTAAAAAGATACTTGATAAACTATTTTATGATATAGAAAACACATGTATAAAACATAAAACCTTCAGTCATAATTCTACTTGAATACCATGAAGGTCTATTATGAATGCTGGCAGGCATAGTCAATGATGTCATAAGAGGTATAAAATGTATTCATCTGTTGTATGACTCTATTATAGATTTAGTTAGGATAGGCCACCATTACAATGTACATTATGACTAGTAAACAGTAAACATGTCAGTTGTGAAATAGCTAGTTTTATATTCGAATCCAGTACCAAATATTTTCTTATTAAAGGCTATGACCATAGAAATAAATTTCATTTTGTCTTGATAGTGTGTATGAAATACTTATTTATTTATATTCATTAATATGTTACATTATTAATTTAAAAGTAACTACTTTGTTATTGACACTGAGCAAAGTAATCACTTTGTTTTTAGTTGTTACAAAAATAAATGCCAAAAAAATAAAAAAAATGCTGTTATTAACAATGGGGAATAAATGTAATTAATATTGTAAACTTGAAATTCTTTAACCTAAGACATTCAAAGTCCATAGATTTTTTTTTTCTGTAGATAGTAATAGGTGATTACTGTCAAGTGACGGCATTAGATTCCAAACCTACATGTAGAGCATAATATAATTGGGTCAGTAGAGTAGGTCAATTTAATTGGCATCATTAATGATGATTAACACCCCTGGAGTAATAGAGTCATTGTGAATAATTGTGATTTCAATCCGAGTACTATATCATAACAAGTATGAAACATTTTTTATACATTTAAATATTTCTGGCATATTCATTTACATAGAAATAATACTATAGCATAAAGAAAGAAAAGTAAACGGGAAATTTTATTTTGTAAAGTAATAAATTCTTACATCTATTTAATCACCAGTTGATTTAATATTATTTGAAAACAAAACAAAAATATTTTTAGGGCAAGGTACTGTAGTTAACAGTGAAAAATTTAATTGAATAACTAGTATCGTAGAATAGGCCACATTACAAAATAGTGCAGACTTAATTTTACATAATTGTGTAGTCACAAATTTACACAAATTGTTATTTGCAAAGAGAAGTCTTAAATTTGTGGTGACCAAAATAAGTACCTATCAACAGATAGGTCGATAATACAATATACACTAACAGCAAATGTGACTTATAGATAGGGATATTATGTATCTGTTATGTAAATACTGTATGTACTGACATACTGTGATAATAACATACCTATATGCATAGTATACCATAAAAGACCTACCACTACCTAATTGATTTAGTCACAAATTTATTAACGAAACCTAATGTTTTATCCTTATAATGGGAGAGGTAACGAGAAATTATGTAGAGAGCTGTTGTGTCATCACGAAAAAAATCTGCAGTGCTGAAGCTCTAATACCGCATACTCCCAAAATAGGTCATAATATCGAAATATCCCAGTGCAGATTCAGAATATAGCTGCGCGATAGACCGCTCGCACTTCTGCAGTGAAACATAACAAGCTGTCTCTACAATCAGTTATACAGTATAATTTATTTCTTTCGACGATAATTAGTTACTTACGAAAAAAAAATTGTAACATAAACAATTTACTGACAGCAGTATTTTTTTGTGTAGGTACATATTTTAGGTAAAGAAAATTAAAGATAAAAAATGAATAAATCCTTACCTGTTTACTTTTGTTGTCGATTCCGTTCGCCTTGCCTTCTGGCACATTGCCATTGTTTTCCTCACTTTTTTCACTTTTTACACCCTCCAACGCCATTTCAAATGGGTATTTTATTCACTGTCATGCGAAAATCGTATTAGTATTTGTTAAATCACTGAAAATAAAATATTTCCTCACAAATTCAATACGAAGAAACACTCCCATAGACAAGGCAGGGCCGTCAACAAAAGTTGTCGTAATGCGTCGATACAGTCAACGCCTTGAGCGCGAATGAAAAATAAAACATTTGTTTGGCTGCCATCTCCACAAGAGGGAGCGAGCGAGCGAGTAGAGGGAACAAAATGAATATTGCCAGATCCAGATAATAATATTTAATTCATTTAAAAAAGAAGAATACAGTCAATGAATACTTTGTAATGCAGGAAATTATGCCATATAGGCTTCTATTGTCGAACAGAATTATTTTAAACTGTTACAACATTAGACAGATTAGTAAGTCTCTATACCAACATACTTTTTGTCTTAATTTAAATAAAGTACCTAGCATAAGATGTGGAAGTAAATCTTATTCAGGGTTTTAATTATTACACCATGATTTATCAGATCTATATTGTAAATAATCTTTGCTAGTGATGTATCATGTACTTTACACATTAAAAAAATATACGAATACATTGAAAAAAAAACATTCTATTCTAAATCAAATGCAAGTAGATTTCAAACATGATGAAACATAATATTCTCTATATACGTTTAACAAAATTATACATACATTGAAAAATGACTGTATCAAAGTTATTTAAATAAATATCTGTTATTTTTAAATATCTATTGTCTTTCGACAGGAAAAAAAATATATTTTTTATATTATTTTATTTTACACTACTAAAACTTGAATTTATTGTATAGAACCTTTTTTAAACGTTAGATACATTTCAAATAGTTGATAGGATTCATAATTACTACCAAATTCAGAGCGTTGGTATTTTTAAAGACCTAATTTACTTTTAGTCTTTTGTCTACTGCATGACAATCTAGATGGCACTTCATAGAAGTTTAATAGTTACAAATGTTTACAATAGATGGTATGATAACTATTTTAAACTAAGTAAATTATTATGTAATTTGTAATAAGTAGTAAGTATAAATATATGATGTAACTGTATTTATAAATAAATATGTATGTATATACATTCTATAGAATCTTAAAAACATTAATGCTGAACAACATTAATTTAAAAGAAAAACATTCACTTCTGGTTCATTCATCTTATAATAAGTTTATGTCCCTAATGAGTGGTAGAAAAAAAATTATCTTTAAAAGTGCTTATATTAAAATTATTTAAATAAAAATTAAGTCAATATCTGTTGTAACTATAATACTTAAAAAAAATAGCAAAAAAAGTTCTCCCCGGCGGGGAATCGAACCCCGGTCTCCCGCGTGACAGGCGGGGATACTTACCACTATACTACCGAGGATATATTACAAGTACTGAAAAAGTGTATCATATTATTTATTGATTATAAAATTAACTTTTTAAAAAAAATATTTAAAAACTAAAATTATTTCAATTAAGTAGGTTAAAGGTAAACTAGGTATTCATGTATTGAAAGAACGTTATTGAATCAGTATATCATACAGTGAATCTACACCAATAATAGCTATTAAAACCAATGATAACCAAAATTATGATATATTCTATTATATGCTGCTGCTAAACCAAATTTTTTTTTAACACTTATCGAGTCAGGTAAAAATTAATTTGCTACCAAATAAGGTGTATTTTTCAACCGACTTTGTAAAATAATAAGGTTCTCTAATCGACTATGTTTGTTGCAATAAAATGCGATTGATGTTTTAATAGCATTTATTAGTTTATACTTTACGTGGAGTCCTATAATGTTGTAATATAAAGATCAAGAACTGACGAGAAGGTTTTGGGAGTTGCAGTGAGTTTTTGTGCCCTAAACACGGTATTATAGGAATTATGTTACACTAAACATAAAAAAGCGTTGGTATGGTATAAGCTACATAAATAATAATGATCTTCAGACTATTGACACACTGGGCCCATGCCGGACAGATAACGCGTTTTATCAGGCGAGTACTAATATTTGTACAGCTGGGGAAAAAAACTAATCGTTGTATGATATGTTATATGACGAGTTCTATGATATGTTATATGACTCGGTGGTCTAGCGGTATAGCACACCGCTTTACTTCCGATGGTCGCAGGAACGATTCCTCGCACGGTGCAAACATTTGTATTCTTGGTTATTTGTATCAGTCTGGGTGTTTTCTATGTGTATTATGTATGTATTTACAAAAAAATCTAAGTATATCAGTTGTCTAGTACCCATAACACAAGCGCTGCTTAGCTTGGGACTAGTTGGCGCTGTGTTAATTGTCCAGGGTCATAATTATTTTTTTATGATATGAACATAAGCATAAAGTTATAATAAGAAGTTTAAAACATACCTGCAATTGTTTCTCGCCATATTATTTATCACATACACATAAAAAAACTATTAATGACAATTTGCTAAATTGTTTCCATTTTAAACTGTCCTTTTCTTCTGGTTGCAAACGCTGTGAATATTCGTATTTATGGGAATTGCTACATCCTTCCATATTGAATTGTTCGTATTTTATTACTTTTTTCTGATTAATATGAGTTATGACTTCTGTTTATGTCGTAAACCAACATACGACAACCACCTTTCTAAACTATCTAATGTTAATATTATGAAAAATAGGTAAAAAAAGAAACACTAAATTAGATGAAACTCTGTTTTCTTATTATATTTAGGCGTTTATTTTACGAGTTTTCAAAAGTAATTGTCATAGCAAAACAGATATCAAAATCTAAAACAACCAAAACCGAAATGACACGCAATTAGTAGAACACTCTAACCTTTACTGCATCAATATTCCCTACTGAAAACAAACATACACATATTTTCCTTATATTAATTATATCGTCCAAATTAAATAGGTTTTTTTCCCTATCAGTACTCACTGTAGGTGAACTATGGACTGTATAAGTCCAGTAACGCATTTACAGTTCAATTGATAAACACGTTTCCAACTACATATATAGTTTATAATAATAAACAAATTAATGCATACTGCATACTATAGGGCCAGTACAAATACCTTGATAGTGAGAACAAAGAAATAGTGTTATTTATAGTGATTTTATTTAATGTTTATATACATCATTGTTGTGTTCACTTTCGTTAAATTTACTAAAATCAAATATTTATAATAATTATTACGTTACGTTAATTTAATATTTATTAAGTTCATCAACATCTATAATAGTAATTGCAAAATATAAAAATGTTAAAAGGTAAGTTAATAATAAAATAATAATAAAATTTTATAAAACACATGGTTGAATGAACAGATAGATACTAAATAAACCCGCTTTTACATTTTTATATAATTATTGTATTTTCGGTGATGTTTGTGAGATTTATTTGCAAAACTATATTATTTACAAAAAATACTGCTCAAAAAGACTTTATTTAAACCTTTATATAAAAATTGTCCGTAAAAAAAGAAAAGTTGAATAAATATTATTATTCAACTATTCTTTTTTTTATATAGGTACATTAATATTCACAGCTTCATTTCTTTAATTTGATTTTATTCATTTAATATTTTTATTTTGATTATGAAATAGTAAATAAATCAGCAGTGTTTACGTGAACACTCGTAAAATGATTCAATGTATTAAGCCATGTAATATTTATTTATTTCCTTTTACAACTATTTTACATATCTTACTTAATGCAATAGTGTTACTGAAACGGATTTTTTAACGGTAATGTGTTATATGTACCTTTAAATTATGATTTAACTGTGTATTTATACAAATCTGTCATTTATTTAAATATGAACTTCAAGAACATATAGTCAAACCTTTGTCTTTAAATTATATATAATTTACAGTTGTAGGTATATTTAAGTCTGTTTATTTATTTGTAAAATATCTATTTATTTTTTTCCATCTTGAATTAAAATATCTCAGTGTAGCAATATGTATCATGTTTTTGAAATTATTTCATACTATTTCTTTCTTAATATATAAAAATTCGTGGCATTGTTATTGATTGATTAATTGTTCGTCCGCGATGGAATCCTAAACTACGAACTCGATTTTGATGAAACATTATATGTATATTCGGTAGACTTGAGAATAGGTTATCTAATTTTTATACCCCTATTTCCCTACCTTCCCTAAACATTTTTGTTTATCTTTTGACATCATTATTTATTTTATTTAGTTATGATGTGACATTAAAAAATATATTTAATTGTCACCCTTCTACCATCAACCTCTATTTTTTAACGACTTCATTCATTTATATGCCAAAATTGCATTTGCTGGGACAGCTAGTATATGTGTATATCGTCGTATCGATTTCGTCTATAAATTGTTTTTATATTTTCTATATTAAACCCTCAGAAACTCTATCTTGAAACCTTTGAACAAAACATTCGAAACCGGTCCACTAAGAGACAGAAAAATATCTGTCTTCCTAATTTTACTCTGTCGACCATCATATAATACATATAATCTACCTGCTTACTATTTGCCTGTACAACCATACCTACCACTGATAAGACTTTAGTTTAATCAATGATATTTAAATGTTTTATTGTTATAGTTTTCGGTGTTCTTGTTATCGTGTACATTTCGTATCATGTACGTATCTTAATTATTACAAATATTATGTTCTTTTCCTATTTCCCAAGGTTTGAATATGTAGGTACCACATTTTTGTATGTCGTAGTTATGTTAATGGTTTTGTTTTGTACCCAGATACAGATTTTTAAGTTCATTCATCAACGCATGCTGTGATGTCTGTAATATAGGTATTTTTTTTATACGACAATGGTGGCAATCAAATATACGACCTGGTGGTTACTGAACCTATGGACGCCTGAAACACCATTAAAATCAATTAAATTTGAGGATAAATACAAAATTAAACATTATTTGATACAATTTTACTAATCGAGGGGTTTGTATGAAGTGAAATGAACAATCCAATTTAATTCCTTTGCTAAAGTTATTTTCTTAATTACACAGAATATTGTAGAGAGTCGTTTGACAAGATTGTTTAATCTACTTAATAGTATTATGAGAAGTCATGTGTTATAATTACGGGAATTAAGGTATCATGTCGCCGTACCCTGTTCTTACACTGCCATATCTGAACCTTCAAACGAAACAGTTTACAGAGAACAATAATAAGAACAGTGGACAATTGATCTAGCGCTATCTAGTCCCAAGCTAAGCAGAACTTGTGTTATGGGTACCTAGTGTACCTACTAGACAAATGATAGAAACACTTAGATACATTTTAAGTAAATACGTACATATCAATAATATACACAGGCCACCCTGGGTGGGTTACTAATACAAACAAACATACTAACCCGTTCCTTACGAGGAATCGAATCTTTGACCACCGGAAGTAAGGTGGTGTGTAAAACTGCTAGACCACCGAGGTAATACACCGGTGTAAAAATTTAAAGTAATAGGAGAAATGAAGCTAACGACTATCATTTTATATAGTTTTTTTTTTAGTTTTCTTAATTTATCTATACTAGACCAACTTTCCATTACAATAAGCATTTCATCTGTTGTAACGACATAATATTATATTAAGTATTTAATTGTGTCGTTAAGTAATGAAGGTGTTCGGAATGAAATTTTTTTTTTATACTTACAAAAACTTCAGCTTCGGTTGTGTCGCAGTATTACCTACTCGTATATCTAATCTGTGGTATTTATAGGTCAATGTTTACGTTTAGAAGCAATTAATTTTTAATTACCTTCGGTATCATCATATTTTTGTTAACAATAATTGTAGCGTTTAATTATGATACAATAAAAAAATATACACAAGTTTATGGAGGAATCTATGACCTAAAACCTGGATTCCCTGTTGATATCATCGATAAAATTGTTTATAATATTTATTACTATAAAAATATAGTACATATAAATACAGTGTTCGAGAATAAATTAATGATAATGCACGTTTGATAGGTATGCCAATAATTTACATTTTATAATACTTCTATACCGTCAATACCTACTCATCGGCACAACTATTTATTATGTGCTTTAAAGCCCTATACCTTGTTGATTATTTATATATACTGAGGACATAGAACACAAGACAGACAAGGTGTAAATGAATCTTAACATTATAGAAGCGAAGTGGTAGTATCGCACGAAAGAAAAATAAAAACTCTTGCACACTGCAAACGGCCTTGTTAATACCTGGTGGATTCGCCACTATAGGTACCCTTACCTTCATTGTTGTGTATATGGAATCTTCTTAGTGAACGACATATAATCAAGACGTAATAATAATAATGGGATTCTGTCAGCATCTCAAGCAGGTATTTTATTTATGCAATATTTAATTTAATTTAATCAAATCATCTTTTACATTACGGTTTACTGGCATTACACCATAATGCCAATAAACCGTACAGGCCTGAACATTTAGACTAGTACGAAGAGATCAACATATTTTCGGCCATAAATCTCATATGTATGTGAAGATTCTTATATAGTTGACATCCCTGATAACGTACTGAATGTCTAAATAGAATAAATAGACTTCAATCGCTAAGCAATATGCAAAGTATGCACCGTAATGATTTATGTTAATATGTGCAGTGCATTAGATGCCGTCAGATCAAGGACTGCTTGTATTTATGTTGCAAAGCAAAGCACATGATAATTACATTAACTGAGAATAATAATAAGTCAATTGTATAACAATAGATTATTTTACTATACAATGAATTATATAAATAATACAAATTATATTACAATAATTAAAACTATTTAAAATAGTTTTAATTATTCGTTTTTTATTGTTTTTCAAGTACAGGATACATTAACATGTATATTTTTCTAGAGAAAGAGAGTCCGCTACATTAACCTATATGTGTATATACTTATATATATACACTCTAAACTAGCAGAAAGCTGAAGATCAACTCCTGTTTGACGGCTACGACTTTAGTCTGAGGGCATCACTAGGCGTTAGAGCCACGGTTCAGACCGTAGTTACTTTGATCGCCGTTTGAATGGGAAGGTGGATCGATCGGAGAAGTGTTGCTATTATCTATAGCTTTATACTGAATTGGTTGCCTATTCACCTTTGCAATACTTAAAGTCATCTCCATTTTTTTTATTTCACACGTATTTTTTCTGTATCTGTATCCTCATATACATGAGGTGTGCTGTGTTTGTAATTGGTAAATAAAGAATTTGTTTATCTACTAGCGACCGTTCCCGGATTCGCACGGCTGTAGGTATTACAAATCTTTGAATTTCTCGGCTTGCTCTATATTATAAAACATACATATTTATATATAAACCTTCCTCTTGAATCACTATTTATTACTTGAACCTTTATTTATGTCCCTTATGTAATTTAAAAGATATAAGCGAATAGATAGCGACAGCGACTTTGTCTTATACTATGTAAATATTAGTCAAAATAATAGAAATCAGGGAATCTCTGGCAGAAGATTGTTTATAAGAATTTTTAATTCTGTAATTCTTTATTCAAATTCATATTAAACACGTATACATATAAAATAAGAACAATTTTCAATATTTATAAACAATATTAATATATATTAAATAATGAACAATACTAAATAAGAACAACTTTCCTTAAATTACGTATGGTGTATAAATTAGCAGACGAAGAAATCTGGAGTAAACCTCGCCTCGGTATAGATTTTTGAGACTTTAGACTCACAATCAAATGCAATTACTAATTATGTTCACAATTGACTAAATGTGAATGTAATCATTGCAGCGCATCTGCATGTTTCATATTTAGATTGCATGCATTATGTGAGTGCGTTTGTGTAGCAAACTGTATTGTTCTATTAGCACTTATTAGTTAGATTGGCTGCAAGGCTAAATGACAAACAGTCAGTTATATGAATATGTAGAAAGTAGCTAATGTACGTATATAATTTGTATTTAAAGAAAAAGAACAACTTCAACTTACAAATGAAATTAAATGAAAATATCTTGATTCATATAATAATAATAATAATTCAATTTCAACTATAAAAAGTTTCACTATCAGCGAGTAATAAAGGCTGACTTTTACAAAATTCACACACAATTTTTTTTATTTAACGTCAATGGCAAATATGTTGACCTGCTGATAACTGGTAACCATCGCTTATATACATGAACAGCATCATAGACATCACGTCATTATGTTCGTGTTAGGTTGTGAGGCAGGACTTGCGTTGCTATTCCGGATGACAAAGATCGTCCGAGGAGTAATGATTTATCCTGACCATGGGCGTAGCCACGGTGGCGCATTTACCCCACCCTGTCTCTGTGTGTAAGGTACCTAACAAAACCTAAAAAAGAAAGTTCATACCTGTCAATTTTTAATGATTATTTTTTTCATACACTATTTTTTAATAGTGTATGAAACAAATAATCGGAGAAAGACCGCGGGTATAGTTTGCTAGTTACTACCCTCAACCCATGGCTGGCTACGCCCATGATTCTGCCATATTATTACCAATATTTCACCCTTCAACCGAAACACTGCTTACAAAGCAAGTTACTTAGTGGCTGAGATATTATTATCTATACTAAAATACTAACAATAATTGCATTTCATCCCAGGGAGGCCGTAATACATTTGTTTGGATTCTGACATCTACGCCAATACATTATGTAATCCTGGTGTCTATTGATCTTAAACGCCTCCAAGCGTTAATAGTAACAAAGATATAAATACACGCGTACATGTATTATAGTACGTAATGAAGTGATAAAAGAGATAACATGTGAATGTCAAATTGTCTCAGTCTTCATACACACTTTTAAGAAACACCACGTACTCGTAAGCCCCGGCAGCTGAATTCAATTAATTTTTGAACCACGTGAGTTTTTTTCTCTAATGAATGATAGTGATATAATGCACCAATAAAGGGCATGAAGTCAGTTCAGTCAACCCATCGTGACAAATTAACCACTATGGTTTACAAGAGACCGCGTGGAGGGCGACCTAACAGGGTACAGGGCAATAAGGTCACTAGTTACTATTATCTGTGCTATTACTAACAATCCCCTTCCTTATACTTTCCTTAATTTTATATTTATTTAAGATGACTGACAAATAAACATAATATCCCGGCTGTTATCGCAAAATAGTAAGTCTGTGCAGATTTTTTTATAAAGCATGACATTATAAAGCATGTAAGAATATGACGTACTGAGCGGATTCCGAATCATGGGATAAAGGCAAGGCAATAATGAGAATGATGATGACATTTATAAAGCACATTAAACAAAATATTTGTTGTATATCTACTGGCAAGATTTATATCTGTTTGTGTTATGAAACTAATGTTATTATCGCGCATGACACCAAAGATAATAATTAATTGTAGACATATAAACAAATAAAAATATAAAAAACATGTATTACATTATATGAGGATATATATATATATATATATATTTATAAATATAGATAAATAAAGTAAAGTATTAACTTTTTTAAACTAGTACAAACACAGTTATTAAACCGCTTATATAAAACTAACTACCCGCCCCGGTTTCGCACGAGTGTGCATGTATTTTACATATAAACCTTCATCTTGAAGCACTCTATCTATTTAAAAAAACCGCTTCAAAATCCATTGCGTAGTTTTAAAGATTTAATCATACATACAGACAGCGACAGTGACTTTGTTTTATACTATGTAATGATGGATAATAATCATTCCTTCATCGCTTACAAGCTGTTGACCGCGACTTTGTTTGCATAAGCTTACATACATTATTTCACCCCTTCTTGAAGTAATAAATAACCTGTGTTCATCCTCGGCATCCAAGGGTCGACTTGCATCCTACCAGTCAACATACTAGTCATGGAGGAAGGGGATTGTTAGTCATTTGGATTGATAACCCCATTGCTACATAGCAATGTACCATCTTAAGTTGACCTCCAAGCGGCTCGCCCTGGAAACCGTCATGATAAATTTCTGATGAATGTTAGCGATCATGATGGTCTAAATGACTAGCCTCCTATCTATCTTATTATTCTCCACTAGTAGTACCCCGTCAGCGTATACTGTTAGCGAAGCGGGTGTACCATTTTATATAAAAAAACCCACCAGTCAACTATTGAGTAAAATTGGGCAACCAAGTGCGGAAATTTATAGTAACCTTTTATTATTGACTGTTTAGATAAGTACATACTTATTAAGATATAAAAGTTATCTGCCGTAATCTTATCTTATTAATATATTTAAGAATTACTTTTTATAAATGCCTAATCTACCTTTGAACCTATCTTTGAACTCTTGAGTCTCGACACAATCATTAGAAAAGAATATCGTTGAATTTTAATTGTATATGAGCTAATAAATCTATACCTATTAAAGAAACCGACAATGTTATTTTATTTAACAAAGGAGTTGTGATAATAACAATATGAATTTGTTTCATAATTTTCAGCGTCACTAAGTGAAGCCATGAAGATCGGATTCATCGGGGGCGGCAAATTGGCCTTCGCCTTAGCGAAGGGATTCATATCTGCTGGTACTACAATTCTTTCATTTTCTTTTTACTATCTTTTGCCCGCGATTTTGCGCTTGTTATATGAGATATATTGAGTGATCGGATAAATAGCAGGCTCCTATCATAGAAAAAGTATTAGTAGGAACAATACTTTTTTATGCCTATATCCATTTCCAAAATACTTACTATGTTTATACCTAATTTTTAGACGGTTAGTAAAATTGTTAAAGCCATGGGAAAATGGCTAAAATTGCTCATGGTAGACTGCAAAGGGAAATGCTTGGAGGACTGTCTAAAACCTGGGACTTTTTAACTGAATTCCAAAAGATGTACCATTCTAACTTAATGTATCTATAATTTGGCACTTTTGGCAGAAATCAAAATGGATGAGAACGTAAATTGGCAACTTATGACTACCTATAAATATATATTGTATGTTCTTATAACTTTACTTTGATAAAGTTGTTATGTACTGTATTTGCTGAGAGACAAAAAGATAGAGAAGTCAATTTAAAAAAAAATATTTTTAAAATTAATTTTACAGGATTGGCGAAACCCGATGAGATCACAGCCAGCTGTCATCCAGCTGATGTGGCAAGCGCTGAAGCATTTAAGGTAAACCACTAAGATTATAGCCATAACCTTATAGGGAAAAGTCAATAGTTACATTGATGTAACACGTAGAACCACATAGAAACCGTTATTACAAAATTTTTTTTTTGACGTAATGATGTAAAGTTGTTTTTAGAGATTTTTGTGTTCTTTTTCTTCCTATGTAATATTATGTTATCTGTGCTAAAATTAACTTTCCCATCTGCAAAGTACGGTAAAACATTTGTGTACAACTATTCCTTGATGTATGATACTTTTAACACAAATTACTGTTATCAGTCAAATTAATTATGGCATGGATAGAATAGAAACCTACCAAAGTGGAATGTCACAATGAACTTGCGTCATGTCACCTTGACTTTGTGGTAGTTTACTATGATAAAAGACGTTACTTATCTTACTTTAGTACCGTTGTGTACTCGTATAATATAATTAGATTGTTTTATAGTAGGTATGCGAACTATAAAACCGAAGATCAATGAACATGAGTAATAACTAAAAATATGAAAATATCAGTACTAATGTTAAAGCGTCATTTAAGACGGAATAATTATCATGTTCAGGAAACGAACAAATCTACTTCAGTCTAGTATTATTAAGAATATTTCAAAACTACTTATCAGTCTGGATCAGGTGTATAAAAGAACATATAAAATAAATGATTGTCTAAACTGGTTGACGTAGAAAAAAAATCTTTGAATAGACAACCCCCTTTTTTTTAAATGGTTAAATATTGAAAAAATAGGAAGGAATTAGTATATGGGAATAGCGAGGACAATCTTTTTACTATCCCTTATCTAAATTTAAACTTTTACCTAACCCTTGTTACCTGAAAGTTCAACATCACGCATCATTCATAATTCCCGTAGAGTTGCTGGCAGCATTTATTTATCATCAGGCAGAAATGACTGTCAGTAATAGAAGTAGCTGACACCGGCAATCATTTACAATCAAGGAGAATAGACAACAGTAGAGACTAGTGCTCCAATTGTTTACAGTGTACCTTATTACGTCGTCCTCCACGCAATTCCTCTTGGATACTACCTTGGATAAATCCTAGAGATTTCACCACGATAACTTAATCGACCTGGCTTCATACTCATCCTATGACCCTTTACTGGAGACCTGACAGCGTACACCTTTAGCGCAGGCGGTTACACCATAGAAAATTTATAAAAAAAACACTTCCCATCAGGTAAAAGCTAGCTCGCTTGTCCTATAAAATAATGATAATAAGTGCCTAAGTAGTTTTACTGATTTCTCATTATTTTTTAATTTAATTAACAATTTTTAGGGTTTAGGAGCAACAGCGTTGTTTGAAAACAAAACTGTTGTGGAAAGGTCAGAAGTGGTAATCGTATCAGTTAAGCCAGACATCGTTGGACCAGCACTCCAAGAAGTAAAGGATCTAACAGCATCTAAGAACAAACTCTTCATATCTGTAGCTATGGGTGTATCAACTGCTACTATTGAAAAAGTAAGTAAATTAGTTAAGAAATAAGCAAGTTGTTAGTAGGGGCAGTACTATATTTTGGGTAGTGTAGAGTATTAAAATTAAGTGACAAACTTAAAAATGCATATAGAAACGTAATACATGTGCAACAAACAACATACGCAAATATAACAATAAAAACAAATGCAACAAAACCATAACGGCAAAAAAACATTTAATAGACTCTTATTTCCCGCTTAAACACAAAGCGCCACAGATTTAAAATCAAATAATAATTAATATACGAACTTCCGATCTCGATACATGTCATAATTTTTATTACTAACTATACCGAACAGTTCGGCGGCTATTTACTTCAGTTAATAAGAATTGGCAAGGAACTTATCTGTGTACCAGTTTTTTTATCAGTTTATTATATTTCTTAGGCTCTCCCAACCGAAGCTCGAGTTATCCGAGTTATGCCAAACACGCCAGCTCTAGTAAAGGAAGGGGCAGCCGCTCTAAGTAGAGGCTCAAGAGCTACTGCAGATGACGCCAAGTTGGCGGCAGAGTTGTTCAGGGCTGTGGGTACTTGCGACGAAGTACCTGAGTACCAAATGGATGCTGTCACTGCTCTGAGTGGCAGTGGACCTGCTTATGTAAGTTGGGTTTTACATTGTAATTTTTTATTTAGTCAATATAGACACACACACAACCTGACGGTCCACCTAATCGTGACCGTATTTCGGACAATTTTAATGTTGTTGGCCGTAGCTTGCCTTTACATCGCTGATTAATAAGGGGCGAGTGCAGATGGTACTCCAAACCTGCGGAATGAGAGGCTAAAGCCCAACCTGCTTGTCAGCTTATTTGATATTCCAGTTACACAAATATTTCATTAATATAAAAGTAAAATAAACTAAAAAAAAAAAAACAATGAAAGATAAATACATATAAAGAAAATCTTTGTTTTCAGATTTACATGCTAATAGAATCTCTAGCTGACGGCGGCGTTAGGTGCGGGTTACCTCGTGACCTAGCACTACGGCTGGCAGCACAGACCACCCTCGGGGCAGCCTCCATGCTAAAGACTGGCGCACACCCGGCAGTATTGAAGGACAACGTCACCAGCCCTGCTGGGTCTACTGCGGAAGGAACATACCATTTGGAACAGAATGGTAAGTACCAAATAAATGGACTTGAAAGTCAACTGTCAACTTTTGAAAACAATTGGTTCGGATTTCGACTCTATAGATTTAGATCAGTGATGTATGTTGAAGAAAAAACAATTTCTTAATTGTTCTTTGTTTTTCTTAAAAATAACATAGTTTATATTTACCAATTTCTTATAGAATAATTCACTCTTATAAGTTCATGTCCAAGTTACACTACTTATTATAATAATAAAATTATATATGTCGACATATAAATTGTAGATTAAAATAGATTGTCAATTGACAATCAAGTTAGATAATGAATATCCGTATAATAGTAAATCTAACCGCATTTTTTGGACCGTGCTTAGCATTAGGGTGGTATTATGTTGTAAGATGATGATGATCAATTATGGTGATATTTCAATGTACTTAAATATGATTAATTTTTATGCAGGTTTTCGTTCAGCCGTTATCGGGGCAGTGAAGGCGGCTGCGGACAGATGCAAAGTGGTTAATCAACAATTAAATAAATAAGAGTAAATGATTGTACATATTAATAGGATAAATTTTATAGTTAATAATTATGTTGTAATTAAACAAGTTATTTATATAATTCCTCTTTTTTTACTACCTAAGGATAATTAATTAAATAAACAATTTTTAATTATGTAGTTATTATTAAAAATATAATAATGGAATATTATAGAATTGGAATTGCTTCAACGTGAAATCTATGTCCTGAAAATTTCTGACATGTCCATTCTCAAGATATGATCCCAGACCCTAGCCATTCCCAAGATATATTTAAAAAGAAAGGTTAATACAACAGTGTACGAGAACCAAATTTGATATTATAATAACAGGTCAGCGAGTTAATCTATCTAGTAACCTACCTAGTATTTTAGCGTACTCATTTATGGAAGGAGATAAGTACATATTCTATTACTATGTTGTATGTATTCTGTAAGGCGCAAAATATTATATAATGGACAGCGCCATCTTTTGACAGTTATTGACAACAACGTATTCACCATAAACAATAAGGTCTTCAATGATACCATGTTAAGCATGATCCGGTTTATTAGTACACTAGGTGGCGTTGTATACAAATTTCATCTCTTTTTGACAATTGGTTTGTTACATCTGTGAAAAGTTAAAAGAAAACGGGTTTTCTGTCTGTCTTCCGTTCTCAACGGCTCCGGCGAGTAGGATTAATTGAAACGTCATACTGAAATGTACGAGTCAGAAAAACAATTCTTATCAGGTGGAAAGTGAAACCGCAACCTTGCCAATCAATCGTATCGTGAACTTGTGTTATACCCGGCGATTCTGTTTACTTGATCAATCGAATTCCTACCAGCCGCGAAATGCTTCGCGTTGATAGTTGTGAATTCATGAATTTAAAAATAGATTGCAAATTCTAACCGGCGACGCGAAGGCTTCGATGTATGGAATCGACAAAAGTCGGCCTTAAATTTGTGTAAGAAATCGACCTACGCTGACAATAAAAGTACACCTACGCGTTGCTAGTGCGAACTGCGTCGTCCCGGACACAAAACACTACGATGAGAACTAATAACGAGACTAGACAAAATCCTCAAGTCGGCAGTTACTTGTTTACTGTCGCATACGTATTTATATAAGTAAAAAAATTATATTCCCTTTAATGTTGTTTTACATATTCGAAGCCCTGAAAGTGAAGTGTTATGAAGTGATGTTTTGTTATAGTATAAATAAACATACGTAACTATTTCTTCAGTCAAGGTTGCAGCTAAAACTTGGATGGCTTTTTTATCATACAGGTACTAAACGCTTCTCATTACATTTTTTGTAACTTAATATCAACAAAAATTTTTTTGAGATGTATACAATATACATGTTTATGCATTTATTTACTAATATACTATGTATGTATATTACACAACATCAATACTTATAAATGATGAACCATCTGTCTGTTATAGCTTTATGGCAAAACAACCCAACACAATTTATCATTAGTTTACATAAGAATATCTTTTATAAAAAATACTGGATGAAGTCCCGGGAAAGGTACCTTTTAAAGATTGAAAGAATATTCCTAATCAGTGCTGGGGTTCTGGTGTTCAAATTCTTCATAACAAAATCTCTGTTTCTTTATAATATTGTTATAGATAATAAGTCAATTTATAGTAATCAGTATTTTCTGTAATATCTAGATTATTGTGTTTATATAAATTTAATAGCTCCTTATGAATATGGTAATAAAGTCAAAAGCATATTTGTGTCACAAAATAAAATATAAAACACAATATACTTAGGCATGTATATTGCTATCCACCAATTAATGTAAACATCTGTTAATTATATTCTGTTTGATATTGTTTTACATATACAATTAAATTTAATTAAATTAATGTTAACTCCTGTTAATTAAGTACAATACTTAATAAAATGCCTTTGTACAGATTTTTCCAATTTTGTTTGCCCAGGGAACTTGATGAATAATTGATCATATTTTTTCGTAGTTCTTGATTCATTTCCATAACATCCAAATATACAATATTTATCATAAATACTACTTCATCATTAACTCTTGGAAATATGACGGAGCCCCTATGACACAAGTCGATGTATCACCTTTTTGGAATTAGAACTTTTTTATAACATGTATTTTTTTACAGATACACATATACATGATATAAAGGAATGAAGTCTCAGATTGTAGATAAGAAATGAATAACCATTTATTATAAAAGAGATAACAGAAATCATTCAAAATAAAGAAATCAACTTCATTACTCTGCTATAAAACAATGGATGAAAGTGATGTTATTGTATCTTCCACAGAAATTATAAAAGGTAAAATTATAAATTTATAGATTTAATATTAATATTTATGTCTCAGTGGTCTAATGGTTTAGCACACCATCTTAATTCTGGTGGTCACGAGTTTGATTCTTATACAAACATTTCCATATATGAAAATGATTATTTGTATTTGTTTAGGTGCTGACTGTGTATATTGTTTTCACATACCTATAAATTGGTTGAGTTGAAAATCAGTGTTTTGTTCTCTGAATAATCTTCCACATTATGACTTTATGTTGCTTCCAATCACATATAAGGACCTGAACATCTTAAGTTAATCTTAAATCCAACTTATCTATTGTCTATATTTGTATGATCAGATAAATTATGTATTTATCATATCAATATTTCTGTTATTATTGCTGGTGCTGGCGTTATGTGAATTCTCCTGGGTTATTATTTTTATTATTATCTTTTACCCTGATTCTACCCTATCCTAACTGTAATTCTCCCCTTGTACATTTTGTCATCATGCATCCATACTACCGGAGGGGGAAGGATTACTAGAAATATGAACTCATAACCCTAATGCTAGCTAAGTTCCATGTCAGGTAAACCTCCACGAGGTTCCCCCTGGAAACCACCGTGATAAATTCCTGGTGAGGTAGTCATATACTTACTGACTACTTCACCAAGAATTTATCACGATGGTTTCCAGGGAGAACTGTGTGACTGACTTGACATTATCCTTATCTTATCATCTCCACAAGTGCCTCGCCAGCTTGACCCATTAGGGTGTATGCGCGTCAGCATGTCTGCGAATGGTGCACTCGTCTGAGTACACCATTCCATTATCATCCATTAAAAAAAACATACCTAATTTTTAACAGACTAAACTACCAGATTTTTTGAAAAACAAACGTTTTTACGTCCGTAAACCACAATCCGCGAGATGATTAATACAGGTTTTCCCAGAGAGGTGCGCGATATGTGAAATTGTCAGGCGAACCTCACTTGCCACCATTGCCATTACCTTTAGGTTTTGTTTTTGACTGAAATGAAATGTGTGTTACAAAAATATATAAATTACTAAATGTAATTTCATTATTTATATTAATGTATTAAGAAGAATTTTAAGAATAATTGACTTTTACTTCAAAAATCTCTTCCAATAGATACAGTTCTTTGACATTAACAGGTCTCGAATATTACTGGTTACATGTTTACGTGTACTATTAATAACAGTAGGGAAGAAGTGGCTCTTTCAGAAATTAGCTCCTTTATCCCAGTTCTCCCCTACATATTGTATGTAACTAATACTAGTTTAATTATTGTTATTTACTACATAAATCATATTCATAATCTTTACATATTACTAATCTGTAATTTTAGAACGTAATTGATTAATTATCTGGGAAGCTCTAGTAGTTTGTTTATTAGTATAATGAATGTGTACAATATCTTGTTGATATAAATGTCTCATTAGCTTCTTTGAGAGATAATACAAGTACATTGTCAAGAATGGAATTAAATAGTTTGGTATACGGCATAGCACTTCAATTATAATCTTTTATAGCACAAAAGTCTCCATCGAAGGGAGATATATAAAATAAAATATAATAAAAATAAATTTTTAATTATGTACACAGAACCAACGTAATAAAAAAAATCAGAATATCACGGACGTCACTTGATAACCTATCATCCATGGTGCAGTTCATATATGTAGGCGATTGTTGCGGTCAACTTGTTTGCCATTCCCATAATTTGAAAATGTGAGATCAATGTTATCATGTATTGTGTTATAGTTAAGATTCACTCCCTTACTACTTAATATGGCTGGCAACGGCGGTGAATGTCTTTTTTATAGGTAAAATAAATAAGAAGCTATCTTATTTATCTTATTTATCCTTTGTAGTATCTTTGACACAACTATATGGTACAACTAAAGATAAAAATATAAAACTAAAAATTGTATATAAAAACATGGTTCAAATGACGATAAGACATATAAAAAAGAGGTCTGTCGCTAAGACTACTGTTATTATAGTAAACGATAAGTATATATAATATATACACTAGCTGTGCCCGCGATTTCACCCGAGTGAAAATTATTGCCTATGTATTATTCTGATGTATAAGCTATATCACTGTAAAGTTTCAACAAAATGTGTTCAGTAGTTTCTGCGTAAAAGAGTAAAAAATATCCATCCATACTCAGAAACTTTCCAATTTATAATATCAATAAGATATATATGTCGTCGCGGGAATCAGATATAGATATTCAATACAACAATGCAATCTGGTTGTCATCCTTGTCATGAATTAGGTACTTCCGTATATATGATATCTACATAAACACACAAGCATCAGCTATGCAAATGTGTGAAATTCAAATGTACTATATTATTATATGTACTAGTGTAGGCGTATAATATTGCCAGGTACCGATATACCGTCAATACTTTGTGCATATTACGTGCATACGACCTTCACACTTTATATCAAAACTAGCTATCCGTCGATATTTGTAGTGATTTTAATGGGTATAGTACGTTACTATCAACAGCCATCGCGAACTTTTTTGTGAAACTAATATATGGGAACTCCCACAACACATTATTTTACTATAACTATTTCAAAGGGGTTGGGTTATACATATATTTTTTTTTCTGTAATATACATATATGTAATCTATTTTATATTTCAATATTACTTATTAAATTGCACCGTCTTATTATCCCTGATCAACGCGGCGGTTGGCTGATAGAGAATGCCATCAGTAAGTCCGCGATGTATACAATTTTGTGTGCAAAAGAATAATTAAATAAAAAAATAATTGTCATGTTTTGAAATTTACTTGAAACCTTCCTTAGGAATCATATTATTGATAAAAAAAACCTCAAAATCCGTTTTTTAAACATGTAGCGATGAGAAACTATTAACGGTAATATATATTTAAATTAATGACTGATAATGGAATACTAGTAAGCCGCGTAAAAATCAATCTAATAGGCAACATTTCTAGCAATGGAACTAATATTCCCCATTACTAAAAATTCCCTCTTCTCGCTAGATTGTGGATAATATAAGGGTGCTTCTTCCTGGGCAAACATTTCCCCCTTTCCATCACTAAGAGTTTCTCATTGAGTTTTACTACTTATTTTTTCATGTAAATACTGTAAATACATTATATATTTTGGGTAGGTTTTGATTTGAAACCTGAAACAGGACCGCTGATTCTATAATTTCGGTGTCTATGGCCGCAATAATTCATGCGGTCTTGACAATTTCAATGTGTTCTACTTGGAACACGTATAAGTCTCACGTTACAATTTTTATTAGGATCATGTTATATTCATGAAGATAATAATAGCTAAATTGCCAGATATTATTCGGAGTACGGTACTCATAAGGGGGATGTCCCCTTATGAGTACCGTACTACGAATAATGAATAAATTAATATGTAATTATTTTTTTATTTATATAAGGTTACATTCGGCCGCTTATAAATGTTATTTTTTTATCACTATCCCTAACGTCACAGGAAGTTATTTATTACCCCTCCTCTGTTTTTGTCGCAATAAGGAAAATTAGTAAAACCACTCCCTGTCAACCCTAGGGGTGTCATCATATTTCGAAATTAAACTATTTCGTTAATAATAAAATAATTGTTTTTTAATAGTTTTATATTATGAAATGTTATTTCACAAAAATCAGGACCGACGTACAAGATGTACGAACGACGTCCTAATGAGATGTGTGCAATGTGAAACTTATGAATATGACGGTACTCTCCACGGCCTATAATGTAGCTTTATTCTATAGGTGAAAGTTTTTTTTAATCGGTTAAATACTTTTTGTATTTATATATTATAAACAATCACAGAAAACTCAATTATTTGTTATGTAATATACTAATAATACAGAACAAATAATTGAGTTAAACTTGTATGACGTAAACTGCTAGTCTATACTAATAAACTAGCAGTTTACGACAGCTTTTGCATTGTCGGAAACAATTATCTCATTATTTGCGAGACTTTCGAATTAACGAATTATATACCAAAAATGCTTTAACATGTGTATCATAGTTTTATATTGCGTTAGCAATACTATACGTATAGTATAGTGTTGCATTTATTTAATAATTAACGCCAATATAAAAAAAAAGTATATTATTTTTTTACAATTTCCGGCATTTACTAAACTAGCTACTATGTAAAACAAAATAAAACTATCAAAAATATAGATAAACTGTAATATATCAAAAAAGTTTTATAGCACTATATTTATGACATTTACTGAATAGAAGCGAGGTGAATAAAATTCACTGTTTCCACAGTGGATGTCTACTAACTCGAGTGAACTTTATAACTTTCGAGGCCGAAAATGATTAAAGGATTCGCGTTGTGTTGTAGGGTTGCCATTTATGTCATGAGATTACCAACTAATGGAATAATTCAAGAACACATAAAGAAACAAAATTCAAAATATTTAAATTTTATCATCATCATTGCCTTGCCTTTATCCTATTTTTTGGGGACGGCGCAGTGTGTCATTCTCTTCCACTGATCTCTATCGGCCGTCATATCTGAGCATACACTCCTTTTATTCATATTATGCTTTTACCTCTTTCTATTAGTATCCGGACTTCATACCTGTATATATTTTTTGTTGGTGATCGATTGGAATACCACAATACATAATTTAAAATAGCACCATCAAATCATACAATCACACAAACTGATAAAAATTGTTTTTTATACTATTAAGTTGAGGATGTTAGTCAAGCAATAATAGTTTTCCTAATGCGTCTTCCATGTACAGACGGCAATCAGTTCTATTTTTATTATATGAATAGAAATTGTTAGTCACAAAATGTTATGCCCCTAAGTTATGTATATGTAGAAGTGATGTTAGACGCTCTTATTCACTAAATTCAATTTCTCTATGTCACGTAGTCTCTATGGCTTAATATGGAATTAGAAAGTTCTACTATATCCTGTATAGCTTGGACATAATCTTGTTAGACCAATCTCACATTGTA